AATGGAATTAGAAATGAAAAAGCTGAAATCACAAAGACACTGTCAAAATCAGAAAGATTATTAACAACTACTTTGCAAACCTGTACACCAAAACATTGGAGAATTCAGAAAAAAATGGGTAGATTTCTAAATACATATGAATAGTCAAAACTGAACCAAAAACATTTAAAAACCCCAAATAATCTATTAACAGGCACTGAAACTGAAGCAGTAATAAAAAACATACCAAGAAAAGCCCAGGTCCAGATTGATTCACTGCTGAATACTATAAAAACCTCAGGAAAGATTTAACACCACAACTCCTCAAGCTCTTTAGTGAAAATGAAAGGCAAAGAATACTCCCAAAGTCATTCCTGGAAGCTAGCATTACCCCGATTCCAAATATAGACAAGGATCCAACTGAAAAAGAGAACTACAGAACAATCTTTTTTAATGCATATACTGCAAAAATCCTCATCATAATACTGACAAACAAAATGCAACAAATCATCAAAAAGATCATACAGCATAACCAAGTGAGTTACATCCCAGGGATGCAAGGACAATTCCAAGTCCATAAATCAATAAATGTAATTCGTCACATGAACAGAAGCAAGGACAAAAATTCCATGATCATCTCAACAGACACAGAAAAAGCCTTTGACTAAATCCAATATCCTTGCATTATAAAAACACTCAAGAAAATAGGTATTGAGGGAACTTATCTATATATGATATACATATATATCTTGTTAATCTCTTATTAAATAGGAAAAAGTGAAAGCTTTCTATCTAAAATCAGGAATAAGATAAAGATGTCTACTATCACTACTCCTGTTCAGCATAATACACAAAACATTTGCAAGAGCAATTAGGGAAGAAAAATTAAGATATATATATATATGTGTGTGTGTATATATATATACATATATATGTATATATATATGTATATATATGTGTGTGTGTGTGTATATATATAGGAAAAAGTGAAAGCTTTCTATCTAAAATCAGGAATAAGATAAAGATGTCTACTATCACTACTCCTGTTCAGCATAATACACAAAACATTTGCAAGAGCAATTAGGGAAGAAAAATTAAGATATATATATATATGTGTGTGTATATATATATATAAAAAAAGAATTATTATTTGCAGATTACATGATCCTCTACATAAAAGACCCCAAAAAATCCACCAAAACTCTTAGAACTAATAACCAAATTTAGTAATGTAGCAGGATACAGAATCAACACACAAAAATCAATAGTATTCCTATAGCCTAGTGGTGAACATATGGCATTCATGCTACAGCAGTCTGTTTGTATCACTGAATGCTCTAAAAGGTTTGCCAACACTGCTATAGACTAATAATGAACCCACTGTGAAAGAAATTAGGAAAATGATACCATTCACATTAGTACTAAGAAAAATTTGGGCTGGGGATTTAGCTCAGTGATTCCGCCGCCTGCTTCACAAGCCCAAGGACCTGAGTTCGATCCCCAGTACAAAAAAAAAAAGAAAAGAAAAATTAAATACTTAAGAGAGTTAACCTAAGGAAGTGAAATACCTCTACATAAAACTACAGTACTCTGAAAAAGGAAATTGAAGAGGACATCAGAAAATGGAAAAATATTCTCTGTTCCTTGATAAGCAGAACCAATATAGTCAAAATGGCCATACTTCCAAAATTGATATACAGATTTAATACAATCCCAATCAAAATACCAACAACATTCTTCACAGAGCTGGAGATAACAATATTAAAATTCATATGGAACTAGAAGAGACCCAGAATAGCAAAAGCTATCCTGGGTAACAAGAGCAAAGTGAGAGGTATCACAATCCCAGACCTGAAATCATATTACATAGCTACAGTGAGTAAATCAGCATGGTACTGGCACAAAAACAGACATGAGGCTCAATGGAACAGAATGGAGGATCCAGAAACAATCCAAGCACATTCAACTGTTTGATCTCTGACAGAGAGGCCAAAAACACACATCAGAGGAAAGACAGCCTCTTTAATAAATGGTGTTGGGAAAGCTGGCTATCCACATGCAGAAGGTTGAATCTAGACTTGTATGTCTCACCATGTACTAAACTAAAAAACAGATCAAAAAACTAAATGTTAATACATAAAATGGACAAAACTCTTGAAGTTGTAAGAGTAGGCAAGGACTCTCTGTACAGAACACTGTTGCATAGGAAATAGTAGCAAGAATCAACAAATGGGATCATATCAAATTAAAAAGCTTCTGCATAGCCAAAGATACAACCAATATAATGAAAAGAAAACCTACAAAAAGAAAAATTTTTGCCAGTTATTCCTCAGAGGTCTAATATCTAGACTGTATAAAGAACTCAAAAGAGTTAGATCTCCCCCCCAAAATAAAATGTACAATCAAAAAATGGAGAATTGAAATGAACAGATGCTTCAAAGTAGAAATAGCCACAAAACGCATGAAGAAATGCTCAACCTCACTGGCCACTACAGAAATGCAAATTAAAACAACACTGATGGGCCGGGGATTTAGCTCAGCAGTTTCCTGCCTGCTGCGCAAGCGCAAGGACCCAAGTTCCATCCCCGGTACCAAAAACAAAAAAACCCCAAAAAAACCCCAAAAAACAACACTGAGATTCCATCTTACTCCAGAAAGAATGGCCATTGTTATAGCTTGTGTTTAGATGTCCCCCCAAAGCCTTGTGCAACCATAGGTGGGGCTTTTTCAGAAGTGGCTGGATCTAGATTGTGTGATACTGGGATTGATTCATGGTGCAATGCTAGGATTAAGGGCGCTACCTAAGGGCGGGTAGCCTGGCTAAAATATGAGGTACAGAAAGAGGCTTGTTGGGGGTTGCTTTTGTTTTTTGTTGTCTTCTATTTCTCCTCTGCAATGCCCCTCTGCCATGCCACCCTCCCTTGCAGCCAGCAGATTATGAAATGAAACTATGAACTATAAGCCAAATAAACCTTTCCCCCTTTAACTTTGGGGTGTCAGGTATTTTGTCTCCACAACAAGAAAAGTAACCAAGACAGCTATCATCAAGAAATCAATTAACAAACGCTGGTGAAACTATGGGGAAAAACAAACGCTTTCTACATTGTTGGTGGGAATATAAATTAGTACAACCACTATGGAAATCAGTGTGGAGATTCCTCACAAAACTAAAATTAGAAATTCCATTAGACCCAGCTATTACCCTTCAAGGTATCTTCCAAAAGAGTTAAAGAAAAAAAAAAAAAAAAAGAGTTAAAGATCACATTATAGTGATCTTTGCATACCCAGGTTTATGGCAGCACAGTTCATGACAGCTAAATCTTGGAAGCAGCACAGTGTCCATCAACAGAAAAAATGTGGTATTTACATCCAACAGAATAGTAACTCTGACATAATGATGAACTTGAGTCATTTGTAGGAAAATGGATGCATCCTGAGACCATAATATTAAGTGAAATAAATCAGACACATAAGTTTAAATAATTCATGATTTCTTTTATATGAGAAACTAAATTATAAATAAAGAACAAAACAAGAGATGACAAGGGCCAGGGATTTAGCTCAGTGGTTTCATCTCCTGCTCCGCAAGTGGAAAGACCCAAATTCGATCCCCCGCACCAAAAATAAAAAATTAAAAAAAAAAACAACACACAACAGATGACAGATCTTTCTCAAATAGGAAGGAGACTGTGAGTTTAAGTAAGTGAGGATGGTGGGGAGTACAGGGGGACTGAGATGTATTGTTTATGAACCAATGCCACACAAGGAATGTAAATATTATGTATGTACTAACTAAAAAAGAGAAAGAAAAGTAAAATCTCACTTTGCATAAAGTTTAAAAGAAGAAATTAAGAAAATACAAACCAGGAGGTAAAGCATACAACTAAAAGGTATTCCAGAAAGAGAAAACAGAGGAGAGGGAGAAAAAAATAAATCACAAGCATACAGAAAAATTTCTAGGACTTAAAAGAAAAACCAAAAAAAGTTTAAATAAAGACTGGGAATCTTCACTTGAATAACAGAGGCAAAAAAAAATGGAAGATAGGGGCAGGGGATTTAGCTCAGTGGTTTTGCCGCCTGCTGCGCAAGCTCAAGGACCCGAGTTTGATCCCCGGTACCAAAAAAAAAAAAAGAAATGGAAAATAGCTGTAAAATTCTAAAAGAAAATGATTTACAATGTGGGATTCTATTAGTAAGGTTGAAAGGAGACTAAAGAGTTTTGGTTTGTTTTTTTGTTTTTGGTACCAGGGATCAAACTCGGGACCTTTTGCTTGCAAGGCAGGCACCGGAACCACTAAGCTAAATCCCCAGCCCTAAAGACTTTTAAATGCATAAATCTCAAATATTGCCCCGTATCCTTTTATAAGTTTTCTTCTACTGAAGGATGTGCTCTGTAAAATGATAAAAGTAAATCAAGACATAGAAAGATGTGAGATGTAGAAGACACAATAACACACGGGAAGAGCTGAAGAACAAATACACAGTATCTACTAAAGAAAATAATAGAAATTAAATAGTACCTGTCATGTTCAATAGCAATGAAACATTCACATCTATAGGTTTGGGAGATGAATTTCTTATTGGTACAAAGAAAACTAAATCAAACAAAAAATACAATCTGCTAAAGGGAATGTAATTATACTATAAACGTGCAACAGCATGAACCACAGTGATTACTCATGTAAATGGAAGGAGGGAAGTAGAGAATGAATTTTGTACTCAGAGAAGGAACTAAAGTCTAAAATGAAAAAGAAATTAAATAAGGCATATTACCTAGTATACATCTAGAATACACAGAGGTTAATTCCAGAAAAAACACAGCTAAGAGTTGATGACTGCAGGGTAATGGGACTCTGGTGGTGGGAAGGAATAGAGCAGAGATTATTTTCATTAAGCTTCTGACTTTTAAACTCTTGAGTAAATTATTATTTTGGTAAAAATTACATTCGATTAAAGGAAAGTCATTCCAACTAAAACATAAAAGAAGGAAGCAGGAAGTATCAGTGATGTACATTACTTACCACACTGTGTAATTGGCTGCATTTAACTCAATGGCATCCCGAGTGAGCTTCAAGGCTCGCTCACTTCTCTCATCACGCTGCAGAACAGCTCGGAAATAATCATAAACATCTCTGACTGGAGACAGAGCACACAATGCATCAGGACCACCTTTTTTATTTACAACTAGCACTGTTATCTAAAGTGGTGATACACCTATGTGGAAATGTATTTTATTTGCAAGTGCATCATTTGTACCAATAAGCAAAACAGAGTCAAATGATTGTGACTGCCACCCTGACAGTACTCAGTCACAGCCACAAATCACAGGGTACATAGGTCTGACCATGCTTATTGCTTATGTGTGTGTGTAGATGGGTTAATGCCAGACTGCAAATCTCCCAAAGACCTTACATAAATCTAAGAGTGAATATATTTAAATATGTCCACATTGCTATTTTCTCACTTTTTTTTTTTTTAATTTTTTTTTGGTACCAAGGATCGAACTTGGGTCCTTTCACTTGCAAGGCAGGCGGCGGAACCACTGAGCTAAATCCCCAGCCCTCACTTTTTATTTTGATCAGATTTTCAAATGAAAAAATCTGTGCAATGAGTTGAACATGGTGGCAATGCCTATAATCCCAGCACTAAGGAGGCTGAGGTAGTAGGATCACCAAGTTCAAGGCCAGCTTGGCCTGCATAGTGAGTTCAAGACCAGCTTGGAATGTACAGCCAGACTTGTCTCAAAAAAGAAGAAAAGAAAAAAAAATAAGCACAATTGTAGAAAACTCAACAGTACAAAAAGGTTCGGGGTAAATTTTCATCCTACCAAATTCCATGTTCTCTCCAAAAGCAACCACTGTTAATTGACTTTAGTACATACTTTCAAATATGGTCTATGCACATGCACATGAGTATAGGCTAATTCCATCCCTCAGGTTTTTAAAAATTTTTTATTTTTATTTTTTGGTGCCGGGAATCGAACTCAGGGACTCGCACTTGCTAGGCAGACACTGCATCCCTCAGTTTTTGTACAAATGAAATGTACCGTATTCAGTGTTTGTCCCTTGCCTTTTTCACACACATATTTTTAAAGATAGTATAAATTAGTAAAAACTCGTATGGAAAATTATTTGGTAATATCCATTAAAAATTAAAATTTATGTATATGCCAATTCAAGAATTCCAGTTCCAGGAGGTTTTTTTTACAAATATACCCCATATGCATGCTAAGCATCAAAAGGTATTTATTGGAGCATTTGGTTACATAAAAAAGAAATTGAGGAGGGAATCATGGGAAGCTCTGATTTACTGCCAACTAGGACAGAAGTGAGTTACAAGGGACTCATCACTGGCAGCTGACATCTGGCCTTGTAGGACTGCACCCCTGACCTGGGGCAGGTGGTGCCACCTCTGGGTAGCTAATGTCAGAACTGAATTAAACTGTAAGACACCTACTTGGTGTCCACAGAGAACTGGAGAATTGCTTGGTATGGAAAAGTCAAGACACTTGGTGTCAAAAGCATGATATATGATTGAAAAATACAGTGAATGAGGGCTGGGGATTTAGCTCAGCAGCACCATGCCTGCCTTGCAAGCACAAGGTCATGAGTTCCATCCCCAGTACCAAAAAACAGAACAAAGCAAAACAAAACAATACAGTGAATGTTTAAGTATTTTTAAAAAATTAATTACAGCAATACACACTGCCATTAATGCCCTCACTTCAAACACTTATCCCTGCATGCTTGCCACTTTCTGAAGCAGTTTTGGAAGTCGTTTTTCACGAAGTGTCTTTAGTCATGCTGTTGTGGCTGTTTCAGTGTCCTGAATCAAATTAAAATGATTACCTTTCATGGTCATTTTGACTATGGAGAAGAGCCAGATCTGGGAATAAGGTGGATGGGGACACACTATAGTTTTTATAATCCAGTCTTTCCACTGGATGAGACTCCAGCACCCAAAGTCAAAGTGTCAGACAAGATCATTAACAATTACAGCTCTTTACAAATTCTGAGGGTTGAGGTGGGGCTTTAGCTCAGTGGTTTCTCCACCTGCTGCACAAGCGCAAGGACCCAAGTTCGATCCCCAGTACCAAAAAAAAAAAAAAAAAATTCTGAGGGTATGGTGGTGCACTGCTGTAATCCCAGTAGTATGGGAGGCTGAGGCAGTAGGATCACAAGTTCAAGCCCAGCCTGGGGAATTCAGCAAGACCCTGTCTCAAAAAAATAAAGAAAAGAAGGGCCAGGGATTTAGCTTAGTGGTTCCGCCACCTGCCTCAAAAGCACAAGGTCCTGAGTTTGATCCCCGATACCAAAAAAAAAAAAAAGAAAGAAAGAAAAAGAAAAGGGGTGGGAACGTAGCTCAATGTGAAGGGCCTGGTTTCAATATCCAGTACTGCAATATAAATTCTGAGACATATGAAAGTCACCTTTTAAACACTACCTTCAAAAAGTTGCCTATAACTTATTCTAGGGCAAAATTTAGAAACACTATAAATGTTAAACAACTACAGACTATTAGTTACTAATCACCAAGTTTCCAAATTATAAATTTGTAACCAAATTCTTATAACATGTTAACACTACATAAAATGCTTATTATGTCGCATGCCTCGCAAGCACAAGGTCCCAAGTTCGATCCCCAGTACCAAAAATTAAATAAATAAAAATGCTTATTATGTACATTATACATACACAAATCTCTCCATGTATTTTTTTTTTTTGGTACCAGGGATCAAACTCGGGACTTTGAGCTTGCAAGGCAGGTGGTGGAACCACTGAGCTAAATCCCTGGCCCTCCATGTATTTAACATAAACATATATACAAGCACACTGTTAAAATGATTAACTGGGAAGTGATCAGGCTGGCAGAGCTCCAGTACCTTCAGTTCTAAGTAAACCCAATTCAATGTAAACAGTAAAACAAAACTTAAGCGTTATCAGCCAGAAATAGCCAACTAACCACATACTAAACAGAACTTCATACATTAGCTTTTTTCTGTAGAATTCTCTTTTTTTTTTTTTGAGAAAAGCTCTCACTATCCAGTCCACACTGGCCTTGAACTCACTACCTAGCCGAGGCTGGCCTTAAACTTGTAGCAATCCTCCTACCTCAGCCTCCCAAGTGATGGGGTTATAGGCATGCACCACCAATCCCGGTTTCTGCAGAATTCCCTTTATATTAGCTAGGCATGATGGGGCACACCTGTAACCCCAGTACTCTGGGAGGCTGAGGCACAAGGATCACAAGTTTGGGGCCACCCTGGGAAACTTACTGACTTAGCAAGAACTCTCAAAATAAAAAAATATATGTAATAGAATGGGGGTGCAGTTCAGTGCAAAAGCCCTGGCTTCAACTCCCAGTACCGGGTAAGGGAGGGTATATATTTTGATCATATACAAGGTGTGATAAAGAATAGCATTTAACTTTACTTTTACACTTATTAGAGTAAAAGACACATTAGCATTAATCCCACTCAAAATACTTCCCTCCACTTCAAACACACTTATCTCATCATTCCTGGCACTCTCTGAAGCAGTTCTAGAAGTCTTCTTCCATGAATGTCTTTACACAGTATGATAAAAAATACAGTGAATAGCTGGGCATGGTGGCTGATCCCTATAAACCCAGTTCAAGGCCAGCCTGGACTACATAGTGAATTCAAGGCCAGTCTGAGCTACACAGCAAGACCCTGTCTCAAAAAAACAAAAACAAAAACAAATTTAAAAAATACACTGAATGCTTCTGATAAGCGCCATCCAATGGAAAGCCAGGCTTGTAAAAACAATATGGTGTCCTCATCTATCTAGTCTCCAGATTTGGCACCGTGTGACTTCTGGCTCTTCCCCAAAGTCAAAATGATCATAAAAGGTAAATGTTTTGAATCAATTTAGGACAAGGAGGCAGACACAACAGTCCAACTACAGATACAAAAAGGGGACTTCCAGAACTGCTTCAGAAAGTGGCAAGAATGATGGGTAAGTATGCATGAAGCAAAGGGAATTAATGGCAATGTGTCTTTTACTATAATAAATTTTGTTAATTAAACATTTACTGGCCGAGGATTTAGCTCAGTGGTTTTGCTGCCTGCTGCACAAGCGCAAGGACCCAAGTTCTATCCCCAGTACCAAAAAAAAAAAAAATTTACTATTTTTTTTTACCACACCTGATGATGTCACTCAAAGTATGGAAGTTCTGCATATTTATGTAACTATAAATTCTGACATTTTCCTTAATAAATTGTTTTCTGTCTAGTATCTCCTTCACTCCAAGAATGAAAGATAACTCTTGTATTCGCATATAGTAAATATTTAGCTTTAGAAATTTAATTCATCTGTAATTTGTTTCCATGCTCAAGATATGAGATAGGGCCAGGCGGGGTGATACATGCCTGTAATCCCAGCATTCTGAGAAGCCGAGGCACGACTGAGGATTTGGGCCCAGGCTGGGAAACTTCGGGGTTTAGTGAGATCCTGTCTTAAAATAAAAATTTTCAAAAGGGCTGGGGATATAGCTTAGTGTGAAAGCCCTAGGTTTAATCTCCAGTACCACATAGCCAATTATACCAAACTATTACTGGATTAATCTTTTTCATGAAGATACAAAATGTACTTTTACATCACATAATTAAGTTCTCATATACACTAATAATTTACTTTAGGTCCTTATTAACCTTTTTTATTTCTATACTAGTTCTACATGTTAATAAATTGAGTACTGTATTTTCATATTTCATAAGGAAAACCCACACACAATTTTTTTTTTTTTTGCAGTACTGGGGTTGAACCCAGAGGCACTCTACCACTGAGCTACACCCTGGCCCTTTTTACTTTTCATTTTGAGACATTACTGGCTTATTCTTCCTTTGCAAACTTTTTTGTCTTTTTTATTTTAATAATCAGCAAACAGAGAGAAAAAGCTTTTTTGTAAAAAAAGGAATGATCTTACACAAGAGCCCTAAATGAAATAAAAATAGACACCCAATTACAGAACTAGCATTCCATTATTCATTCACCCTTTCTAGAACTAAGATTTGCATGACCTTCAATTTACAAAGCATTTTCACATTCATCGTGAAAGAATATTTTATGAAAGAAAATAATCCACTCATTTTAATATCAGTAAATACATTCGAACTGAGCCTAATACTTTACTCCCAAAATATATTTTAAAATGCTGCTGCTTCAGCAGCCAAAGTTATTATGAACAAAATACTAATTAATTTGTTGTATGTTACATGCAGATTAAATAGCAAATGAAAAGCACAATCACAGTTATTAAATGTTATATGTAACATACACTGCTTGGCATATCTCCACTCTTTAGACAAAGTAAAATTTTAATTATAAAAATAAATCTTGATCCTTGGAGTCTTTGAGATTTTCCTCATTTAAACACACTAGGGATATGAGGTTCATAAACTTCAGTGACTCGTCCAAGTTTGCTCCACAATGTGGGGCAAAGCCAAGGAAGGTCAGTAGTCTTATAAACCTAACCCAGGGATCATCTTTCCACTTGAGATAGAAATTCTTTTGTTGGAGAGAGAGAGAGAAAAGAGAGAGACAGTCTCCAGATTGGCCTTGAACAAGCCAGCAGCCCAGGATGGCCTCAGACTCCCAAAGCGCCAGTATTATAGGTATGTGCCATCTCAAGCTGTGAGGGTTTTTTTGCTTCACTTTTTTGTTTTTTTGTTTTTTTGGAACTGGGGATCGAACTCAGAACCTTGCGCTTGCCAGGCAGGCGGTGGAAACCACTGAGCTAAATCCCTAGCCCTTGCTTTGTTTTGAGACAGGGCCTCTCTATGTAACCTAGGCTGGCCTTGAACTTGCAGCAATCCTCCTGCCTCAGCCTCCTGAGTGCTGGGACTGCTCACGTGCACCACCACATCTGGCTGAAATGGAAGTTTTTAACGAAGCCTTGTAGAAGCCATGCAGATTAGCTGAATTGTTTAAGCACAGAAAAGCACAGAATGCTAAATCTCCTCTCAAGGAGCACTGCCTAATAGGGTACCCGTAGAGAAGAGCAGGTCCAGGGGAGACTTTCATCTGGAGTGAGTTAGGACACTTGATTCACTCCTCCCTCCTCCAGCATGACCTCCCCACTCTGAAGGAGGCTGGCTTCTGCTAAGGTTTCCATACTTGAAGGCAAGCCGATATCTTAGCTGCAAATTCAGTGGAGCTTCCTGTTCTTAGGCTGCCCCTCTGCAGACTGTGAGAATCTGAGCTGATGAATAACTTAACCACCAGGCAGTATAGTGGCACATGCCTGTGTCCAGCACTCTGGGAGACTGAGACAGGAGCACATCAAGTTTAGCCCAGCATGGACAAAACAGAGACCCTGTCTCAAAATTTAAAAACAAAGAAATTTTTTAAAGGGCTGCAATGTAGGTTGGCGTGAAGGCCTTAGGTTCAATCCCCAGTACTGAAAAAGAAAAGAGAAGAAAAGGACTGCACTGAGCTAGGAACTTTGCAAACAAAGGCTATCTGGGCATCACTAGCATGGAAATGAGATCAGCTTTGGAAGTTTTAACAGTTGATAGCATTTCTTACGTAAACTTTGATTTCTCTATTCTCCCCTGACTGTGAGCCTTCTTATTCACACACATGCAAAAAGCTAAAAAAAACCATAAAATGAACTCCTCATAAGTAATGGAGACCCTTATTAGATGAAAATCTATCTTGCTACACAGTTGTGAATTTCAACTTTGCTAAGTTTGACTTACAGATCTTTTCCTAATAAAAATAAACTTACATTTTTCACTATAGATGATCTGCACTACTGGATTAGGACCATCATTCTGTGGCACTGGATCTATATCAGCCCACTCTGCTCTGTCCCTGAAAAACATACATTTTTCTTTCAGTAATTATGTTCAAACACATTAAAAGAAAAAAGAACCCATGTTTTTTAAAATGGCAGTATCATACTTATATAAACATTAGTAACTTACAGAGATCTTAAGGTTATCATAATTGAATTCTTCATGACCAAGTTTTCCCATTTCAGTTTACTTATTAAACTTTTAATGTAAAACTAAAATAAAACAATCTTTGGATTTTAAAAGAGGCTCAGAGACAACGGGAAGTAGGGAGACGGATCCTTCTCAAAGGGGAAGGGGATCAAAGGATGGAGGGAGGAGGAGGGTGAGGAGAGAAATAAGAAACTGTGATGTGTTCTGTAGGTGCACCAACTCCACACAAAAAATGCAAATAGGGCCGGGGATTTAGCTCAGTGGTTCCACGCAAGCGCAAGGACCCAAGTTCGATCCTCAGTACCAAAAAAAAATTAAAAAACAGAAAAAATACAAACATTATGTACTACACACATAGTAATAAACTAAAATTTTTAAAAGTTTTGAAAAGCCCCCAAGTCAACAGTTTTTGAATTTTAGGTTCTGTAAGTGGCAAAACCTGTTTTTGCAGCAAATATAAAGTAGTTTTAACTTAGAAATCAATCTTACTCATTGGTCTAATTAGACTCTTTGTAGTCTGTCAGCATTTTTAAAAATCTGAATAATTTACTAGAAATTGACATTTTAAAATGAAATTAAGCAGTACTACCATATTTTGCTGCATACTAGAAAGCTGGCCCAAATGCTCATTTACACAGCAGGCTCTAAGGCAGTAATGGCAAGCCTTTTAGAATTTTCAATGATAACAAATAGCCTGCTGAGGCATGTGGGCATGCATGCCATAGGTTCGCCAACACTGCTCTAAGGGCTGAGAGGCAGCTCAGTGGTAGAATACTTGTTTAGTACCACACAAGAGGTGGGAGCAGATTGTGGAACCTGACAAAGGCATAAATCAATATTACAAAATGTGTGACCTTCAGAAAGTTACATAACCTCTCAGGGCCTCAATTTCTTCTTTTAAAACAAGCATAGAATATCTAAAACAGTCAATGAATACTATTCATTATCAATGCTAAAATAACAGTTTAGTGGCAACAATAGATGTTTGTTCAATGTGAATTGCCCAGTGTGAACAAGTTTTAGGTACTCTTTTATTTATACAAGAAGTGATCAAAATACACAGTGAATGTTTGTTATGCAGTCATAGGTGGGGCTTTGGGGTAGTAAATTAATCATGGGTGTATGATACTCATCCACTACATTTGTCACTATAGCTGATCTACACCACTGAATTGCTATGATGGGTGTGATGTTGGGAGGTGAAGCCTGGTGGGAAAAGGTTGGTCACTGTGAGTATGACCTGGAAAGGTATATATCATTCCCTGCTTCCTGCCTGCCATGCCATGAGCTCTTTCTTCTCCGCCATGCTGCCATGCCTTGGAGCTACCTTACTATGGACTGAAACCTCTAAAAAACTGTGAGCCAAAATTAAAAATTTCCTACATTAAACTGTGAGTGTCGGATATTTTGCTCAAGTAATGAGAATGTAACTAAGACAATGTTTAAGTTTTTAAAAATTGTACTACTATATAAGACATATTGCCATTAATCCCCCTCAAATAACTTCCCCTCACTTTAAACACATTCATCCCATCATTCTTGCCACTTTCTGAAGCCATCCTGGAAGTGCTCTTTCCTGAGGGTCATTCTGAGGTGCTGAGTACCATCCAACTGAACGGACACAGAACTGCTTCAGAAAATAACAAGAACAGCAGATAAGTGTGTTTGAATGGAGGGAGAGCATTCTGGCGTTGTGTCTTTTATTCTAATAAATTTTTTTTTAATTTGACCATTCATCATATTTATCTTTTTTTTGCAATATGACACATCTTTATTGGTCGGCATATTTTTCTATCACACCATGTATTCTTTTCCTTTCATCCACTCTTTACTTCTATATACTGACAGTTATCGACAGCAAATATCTGTGTCATATAATCTTAAAATTGTGTTCATCATATATGCGAAGAAATACGAGGAATCAATGACAAGGAGTGGCACGGAAAGGTGACTGTCATTTAGTCACTGGGAAATCAGACACAGTCATCTGAAGAAACTACATATTTCACAATGAAGAGGGTTATGGGCCACCAAAACGAATTCAAATGAGTAAAACAGTAACTCCAACAACAACAAACCCTCTGGATTGTGACTTTCACTCATTCATAAAATCAAGTAAATAAGCTATGAGGTTTAGGTAGAACCACAAAACAAAGTAGTTTTGGATTGTCTCTGCTGGCTCACAAGAAGCTAGGGAATCCTATTACTATCTAAAAGCAAAGGACAGACAGCAATGGGACTGGGTGTTGGCAAGGTAGGAGAAAGAGGCAAGAAAGTTACAGCAGGACCTTCACATCACTAGTATTGCAGACAAGACTGTGCAGAGTTGCATAACTGACTTTAGGCAACAAACTTCTTCATGCTTATTCATGCTTACAGACTAACTCGGTGCCTGGCTGACTGAGCCGCTAAATTAAGTGAAAATATTTCAGTCCTTAGGATCTTACCTTAGTTATGTTATTTCAGCAGAGCCACGGAAAGCTCTTCCAGCTCGTTTTTAAAGCGAACAAATGTGGCCCCTATTTTTGTTTTGTTTTTGGTACCGGGGATCGAACTCGGGTCCTTGAACTTGCGAGGCAGGCGGCAGAACCACTGAGCTAAATCCCCGGCCCATGTACCCCCTATTTTTAAAAAGCATATTCTTGGCACGCTCTCAAAACTGCACCCTAATGCTTCTGTATTGGTATGCTCCCTATATAGGCCGCGTTCTGGACCACGAAAGAGAGCGGGAAGTTCTTAAAGGTGTGGATGGCGACCAAGGATCCACCGGATAGAGGGCCGTCAGGCGCTCAGTACTCGGCTACAGCGGGCGGGAAGCCGCAGGGCTAGGGCGCCAGGCTCGGCCGCACTTAGGCCTGCACCGGACAGAGGCCACCCGCCGCCTGCCGCCCGGGAGCCCCGCCCGCCATTCTCACGCGCCGGCCCGGGCGTTACCTGTACAGGACATAGGTGGGCGAGTCCAGGTTCAGGAACCCCTCCTCCGTAGGGGATGCCACGGCTTCCCCGGCCTCCGCTGCCATGTCTTCCTCCAGCGGCTGCTGGACCGGTGGTGGGTGCGGCTGCGGCGGGGGCTGCTCCGGCCGACCAGAATCGCTGTCTTGCGCAGGTTCCCCGACCCCCTCAGTGGCCGCCATCTCGCCTCTGTCCGCAGCGGAGGTAGCGCGGAGGCCCCGCCCCCGCGGCCTCGCCCGCGCCCCCCTCTTTCCCCCCGTTGAGCTTCCGGTTTCCAGCACCCGTACCACGGAGGCGCGGCCGAAGGCCTGGGTGGGAGGAGCTGCGCTGCAGCCCAGGCTCAGCAATTCCCACAAGTTTTCTGGACGGCGGGCCTTCCGCCGGCCGAAAATGCGCCTGCGCAGTCGGCTGGTGCAGTTAATTGTGCCAAGGCGGAGTTTAGTAACTGTGAAGTCTCAAAAGCTCTGGTCTCAGGCTTCGATCTCAGCGGAACTGGCCTTCCTGACCATGCAAGGCCTTTATGGTCCCACATTTTTTTTCAGTGCTTACTGTATAAGCCAAATTTATAACTAGTACACTGCTAGATGTCAGATGTTCCAATTGTATCCACCGATCTAGAATGAATTCCAAAGGACAATGGAGGTTTACGATATGAAAGATTTATTGAAAGATAGCTCCTGAGAGACAGGAGTGGTCCTGAAAGTGGGTTGCCACCAAGGCCCTTTGTCAGGAGTAATTTATACAGCAAATATGGGTACAAAGTAGGTAAGATATAATCAACCAATAAGATTACAAGTATAGCCACTTAGCTAATATTCATCCAATAGGGATAGGGCCACTTAGCAAGGGTACATGTCTGACATCACTAACCTTGGCTTATCTGTGACTTCTAAAACGGGAACATTTTGGGGATGGGATGGCTCCAGGTGTTCTGGTCACCCACCCAGGTATCTGATGCATAGCTGGATCTTATGGGTTGGGTGGCACTAATTGTAGTATACAACAAATCCCTGACTTACAGACATTTGAGTTATGAACTTTCACAGATATGAACAGACCTTGCATTACTGCATTTGTAGATTGGAACAACTTTCAGAAGTAGTTCACCTTACCTTTTTGAGGTATCTGTACAAGTAAACATAGTTTATTTACAGTTGTTCTGTACTGTACCGTAACAGCGAACTTACAGTCCACAGTGTGGCAGCTCTTAGTGGTATAATAAGATCAGGCCAAGAAGAATCGAACGCACTCTGAGATTGGAGGCAAGTGGCGGACAGATGGGGATTTCTCCACGGAGGGATCAGCCCAGAGCTGGAAATGAACAGGGTTTATATGGATTAAGGGAAGGGGGTGGGGATACAGAAGCAAGGCATTTATAATCAGTTTAAGGCATTTAGGAAGTTACATTTAGTTTACAAGATTTGATAGAAAAGTATACTGGGTACAAACACTTCCTGAGAACAAAGGACAATGAAGGAGGACATGTGTTGAGTGTGGGAGGGTTATGAGCTGAGGGTGGCTCTTTGTCAATTAGGTCAGCTAGCCGCAGGAAAAATCTTTTGCTCAGAAATCGTTTTCCAGCTCAGTACCACCATTTTAACTGTAAAAGTAAAAATAATTTATTAACAGTATTTGTCTGTGTGTTTGGTTTTCTTATTCCTTACATTGTATATTTGTGTTAAAGGTGTATAAAACTTATTTTGGGGATTTACGAACGAATACAATTTAGGAATATTTTCCTGGAATGGAACTCATTCATAAGTCAGGAACATAATGTAGTCTCAAGTTTTGCTTATCCCTTAAGGAAGTAAGAATGGCCACTGTGACTTTACCTTGAGGCACTCTTCAGATGCTCGTGCCTCTAGCCACAATTCTGATGTTTTTATTTTTTCTCTAACTTCCTTGAGAGCCCAGTCCCTCTCTGACTGCATATTAATTTCTATCAAACTTAGCTCCCCATAACATTCCCCCCTCTGAAGAGCTATCCCTAACTGTTAGGGGAGAATGGGCATAGTTTCCATCTAGCTGCTTTGAGGTGAGAAGGGTCAGAGTAGGGGAAACCAAAGTCAGGGTCCTTCTCCAGAGAGCTAATCTAGGGGGCCTTGGATAGAGGTCATGTTAGGGTTTAGCAGTTATGAACTCTCTTTAGAAGGTCAATCTAGTGGATCCCGGTAAAAGGAGTCTGGCACATGTACTTTTGGTTCCTTCTGCATGATCACTTGGAGTTTGGCAGCCTCTTCGCAAGAATAAACAAATTTTCCAATAGATTAAAGAACATACAACAAAAGAATGAGCAGTAAAAATGGAAAGGCAAATTGGAGAAAAAGCCACATCCAGACACCGCCCTTAAGGGACTGAACTAGTAATTGTAGCTAGCTGACTGTAGATAGAGAGCTATTGATGGAGGTTATCTAATAACTCTGATTTTTTTTTCACAAGTCCTTCCAGTTTTAGATGTAAGAAGATGGAGAGTTCAGTGGTTTTGAAGGACAATTTTAGTTAAGTAATTTAAAGACTCTTGTTGAGCTTTTATAGCTTCCACTGTAGCCTCATTCAAACATAACAGTGGTAAGCTACAGGTATAGCTGAAAAATGACAGCAGAGATCAGTGATTGAAGACCTCTTTCTATATGTAGATTCATTACTGTGGTATTATTTGTATACATCTTTTAATTGTACTTTTCTACTGGGTGTTTAAGACCAAGTTAAAGTGAGACTTGTGTTAATCAAAATAAACCTCTCACTATATGTCAAGGTCAGTTAAGGCTCTTCAGGGGTTACTTTTGGAACCATGTACAGAGCATCTCAGCCACCAAGAAAGGTCATAGTCTTGCTTGACCATGGGGCTTCCCATGGAAGCATAGGAGACATTTCTCTCTTTCTGACCCTCCTTTTTGGCACACTGTAGATTAGTGGACTCCTGTCCTTGGGGTACAACAATCCAATAATTAGTGTTACAAAAATCTCCCTATTTTCCAGGTTGGGTGACTCACCAAAGTTGTAAGATCCTGTAGAAAAGATCCCCTCAGCTTCTGGGTCCTTGTTGACATGGGAGGACCAGGGCCAAAATATTGGCTGTCCTCTTACCCAGTTATTTTTTCTGCCTCTGCTCTCCAAAGTTCAGTTGTTGAACACCCAGGAAAACTGTTGAAATACATAACATGACAAGGGAACTGTTATTTTTTACCAATCATGGTCATTTTAAAAGTCAATTCCTACAGAATGCTAACAGATAAAGTTTTATGGACACAGGCAACATAGCATTTTAGCATGACAACCATGATGACATTATTATCTCTCAAACTCTTGTTTGTTTGTTGTTTTGTTCTTTGAGACAGAGTCTCCCTATGTAGTCCAGACTGGCCTTGAACTCACTATATAGCCCAGGCTGGCCTCAAACCCATGGCAATACTCCTTAGCCTCCCAAGTGCTGGGATTACAGGTGTGCACCACCACATCCAGCTTTGAAACACATAAAAATCTCCATTTTAATATAAAATAACTTTTTAGTCCATTATCTTCACAACATAAAGAACTTTTGCCCAAGTTTGTCATCCTTTGATAGGATGGTATCAAAGAAGAATGTACCTGTTCATAGATGTACCCTATAGATTATTAATGTCCAACTTCTAATTTTTAGAGTGACATTACCTGGACCACACAGCACTTGGGTATTTTTAACTGTTATAACACAATTATATAACAATCACACAAACACAAACCTGAAAACTTATCTGCAACATCTGTCTGGCTGTCTCATATTAGACTGGCATGTTCATTTCATCACAAGTAGTTGGAACACAAGCAAGAAAATGCCAGATGCTTGAGCCTAAAATATTTACCACCATAGAAAACATTAGCTAGGAGTTACAAGTGTGAGAAGATGTTTTTAGTTTGCGTCTTTGAAGGTCTATAAACTTGAGACATACAAATATATAATTTAATATACTTGAATGTTAGCAATAATTAGTTTTGCAACTATATAGAAATCTTTGTACAGTGGACCCTCAAGTTATGACCAGACTGACGTACAAAAAACTTGGGTTATGACCAGAATTTTAGTTTTAACTTAGGAACTAAGTCTTGAGTTATGACCCAAATGCTGGCCACTTGTGCTTCCAGATGGTCTTGTTGTGCCCAGATTGTGAAGTCCCAGAGACCACCAGGAGGCCGTTTCCGATGTAAGCACACAAGGGTCGTTTATTCAAGCTTAAGCAGGGACTCTCAA